AATGTATATGTATACATTCACTATTCATTGTCATGTGGAGCTATGCCAGCAAGAAATACTTCTATTACTTCTGTTGGATACTTTGTAAATTCTTTGTAATTTGTAGATAAAGTGATGCTATAAATTCATAGTCATCCTAAAAAGAAATGACAAATAACACGTCGAAATTATTTCTCCCTCTTCTCTGTTGGAAAATTACGTAACGATGCACGGAGTATGTAATAAGCGTAATATTGGAATTAAATTATCTCTCGCGTATAAAGGTAAAATACGTGGTCGGAGCGCGGAAAATAAATCAACGCCGAATTCAGATGGCCAGAGTAAGAAAGAAACGAGTGAGGCCGGTAAGAAGGGACGCGGAGGGCGTGATTCGAGTAGAACGAACGACGATTACAGCAAGATAAATGGACCTCGTTATCACAAAATGGGGACAAAGGATCTTCGCGAAACAGGTAGGAAAAAGTAATTCGAGATTCTGCAACTGAAAAACAATTCTTTCCCTTCTCGGTTTGAGAAGGAAAAGAAGACAAAGAAAGCGTTTGACGTTTAATGATCTTCAATCTGAAATAACCTTTGATTGCAGCTTATAGTCTTATTGAATATTTTCACATAATGTAATTTCGTATCCAGATTCAGGAAGTGTGAAACATAAACTTCTTTGGCACTTTCGTTAAAAAGAGAATTATTTTTTCTCAGGAATACTTTTATTCGTACTTATGACAGAATTTTTCAAAATATTCCTGTCATCTGTTACATAAAATATGACAGAAGGATGTAAAAAACCTTTTTTATTAATTTAAAACTTATAATTCGATTACAAATTTTACGCAACACAATTTTCAAAATATTTATGTCTAAAAAAATTTTCAATCCTTTTTAGGGTACATAAATTTCTATTTCATTTTTGCTTTCATGAATTAACTTATACAAATATAAATTTGAGTAAAAATAGCTTGACTAGAAAGTAGTTCTAATAGCTTGAAAGTTATCAAAGAAACGATCGATCTCATCGACGAGATCTCGTATTGGCAACGTCGGTATCTAACTCGACATCATTATCGAAATTCCGGATTCCATAGAGACTGACTGAATCTCTGATACCGAATCATCATTAATCGGGGATGAACACTTGGGGGCTTGGAAACGTTTGGTCATCATTATCGTATCACGTCCAAATAATGCGGTCTACGTATCTACGTTGGGGCAGGCCCGACGTCCTCGTGAAATTCCTCCGTTACAGAGCGCCGCTTGATCGAGTACCAATTATCAAACAAGCGCTTTGTGCAGCATGGCTGGACTATGATGCCGATTACCAAAACCATGAGAAAAGTTATCCAGTACCAGACGAAACCAGCGAAACCTCATCTGAATTGGTATGTGATGGAAATCGTCGACGTGATGCTATTACTGTGAACAAAATATTTGACTGAACTATTTATCTTGAGCAATACACTGCAGATTTTATACATTTATAACATACGCCATGTTTGAAATTTAATAAGAACTTGAATAAAGTTCAGTAAGGTTCTTATTTTGTATTAAGGTTTCATATCCGTTTCTTAGCACTAAAAAGTGGTCAATATTTTGTGAGTATTTGAGAGAAAACTATTAAGCTGACTGGATTAAATTCTTTTTGCATCATAAAAGTACATGTTTATACAGTGGAAAAGTGGGGAAAGAATGATAAATTGTTACAAATATGACGTTTACATGCAATGGCGTAGAACGTTTTTGTTCGAACTGCCTCAAACGGTGGGCATGATTCATTTCATATGAATGAGCCGATAGAGAATGTTATTTAGAATATGTGTGTGAAAGATGAAAAATGCTGTTTCGAGAAAAACGCGGCTGAAGTTGCATCAAATGAAAATCTTATAATATACCTTTAATCAACGATTCCAACACCATAAAATTGACCCTCCTTTGCCATTATAGCCTAAATAATTGACAAAATAATTATTAGTCAATAATTTATTACAAATTTCTAACTTGCCTCGTGAAGCGTTACTAATTTGTAACTTGACTTGTGTCACGACTCGTTTCAAATTTCATGTTTGCTGTGGGTTTAAAAAAATATTTCTACGACATGTGTCTTTCAAAATATATATTTTAAAAAAAATTGAGTTTTTCAAATTGAGAATTGTATATGACCTCTCAAACCTGGTAGATATTCTGGTAGAGTGAACAAATTTTTGTTGCATTCCAGTTCCTGTAAAATAGTCTGCCAAGATTAATATTTGCATAAACATCCGCAGTCTAGTGATCAATGTAGAAAATTACTTATACAAGAAAAGGAAATTATACGTTCGTTGTAAGTGTACACTTACTCTAAACGTTAAATGTTAATAATAGTTACTTATATTATAGTATTGTGCTTCGACTTATAAGAAATGAATAATATTCATATTTATTAAATTGAGTTCGAAATCTTCAATAAGAATCTGACACGATGTTACAAGGCAAGATGTCAGAAATAAAAGATAAATTCATGTGTTAAAATAAGAGAAATCGTTCTTCTAGATGGAAATATTAATAGCATACGTTGAATAACAATATTTTTATTGTTGGACACTTCACGGAGAATACGAATCGAAAAATCTAGAGTAAAAAGCTTTTATCACAAATTCGTTTGATACTTAAAATGATACAGGTCGGTGGTACTACTAAATTTGGTTACATTTATAGCTAATCTTATAAAATTCGATCATGCGGAGTAGCTCGTTAAATTTCACGCGTCTACGAATCGACGAATGGTAGGTACTACCACGGGGTTGAACTATCACTGACGATACGAATACTTCTAGATTTTCCGATATATTCCTAAGAAGCGGATAATATATTTTTAAACATGTTTTTCATACAATTTATATTGTCTCATTTATTTTTAATCCTTAACTGGCCAGGTCTTGCCTACTAATTATACAAATCTTACTATACACAAACCTTATTAATTATTACATAACTAATTCTTTTTATTCTCACATAAGAAAACATCGAAATAAACAATCACCTCTTTAACTAACTATTGAATGAAAGTAAAGTATTATAAAAAATATTCCTAGAATCCTCAGAGCCCACTTGACAAATTAAGGGTTAAAGGCATCTTTCAAAACTTCAATAACAAACCGATTTTGAGCTCCAAAAATGTTAGCCAAAAATGACCTGTTAATTTGCATGAAAATTGAGTAATTTCCCCGGATTTATAATAGAATGTAACTAAGTGTAAGCTCACCTTACAGTAAGTGAGCAAAAAGTTCGTTAACTCGTATACTACACATCGCAAGAGTGAACTTCGAGATTAGTTGCTAACGAGCTAACGATTAAGACGAAGCGTAAACCTAACAAGGCGTCATTATAGACGGTGTCGTGTTCTAGTTTGTTATCGGAAACCGAACTTGTATAATTTATTACGATGAAACATTAATCTATTCGAACAAGCAGGTTCGAGAGGCACAAAAGCAGCGGCAGAACATACTACAACGATGGGGCTACGGTTTTCGTGAATTCTCGTGTCGATGGATCGGGGGAAGTGTATTATCCAAACGGGAAGCTGGCCATTGAAGTCCGCAGACAGGAAAAACAGAAATGTAATCATAGAAGCGTAATTTACTAAACCTGAAAGAGACATTCTCGTTGGAGGATCTAAAGTTATACTGAAAACAATTGTCAGACTACTAGAGAACTTGTAAGAGCTGATGCCTATGAACGTAATTTAATGTAACGTTTTCGAAAGTTGTGGTTGGTGAAATTATTCTTTTTGTTTTATTAATCTTCTAAAGTTGGTACATTAATAATTTTTACTTTACTAAAAGACTTTCTTGAATAGACTACGGATTTTATGCATTTATAGCCTATAGGGGTGTGTAAAATGCAATAAAGAATAAAACTTTCATCAAATCCAACGATTTCTCTATTTTATTCTGAACCCAATATGATACTTAAGAGAAGATAGAAGTTTCTACATTTACTGTTGTCTTTGTGAATTACTTTAGAAAATACCATGTTGCATAAAAATCCTCAGTCTGTTCATAAGAGTATCTATCCCTAATTCAAAATTGAAAAACTTTCACAGGAAAATGATAATAATTAAAGATAGTTTATGCAAAAAATTATTTTTTAATACTGATAACAAGCTAATTCAAGTTTCTCGTTACTGTATGAATATTTAAAATAATTCTCCCTGAATTTTGCAAATGTAATCGTGAGGGTAGTATGATATTTTGAATTTTCAATTTTACAAGGATTCATACATTTGACGAATATTTTTATATGTTGAACCTCCAACTAGAGAGTCAATTATACATGAGTTGCTGAAAAATAGTGTGATACAATTTACGCGAGAAAGAGAATCTAAATTTATAACCAGGCCTCTAAAGGATACAGTAAAATAATAAACCTTATTAACACTTTGACTGCCACGTCACCCAAATATGGATGACATGTAGATTGAAAAGTGTCTGGATTATTTATACACTGTTATAAAATGTTTGCATGAAATTAATATCGCAGTATAATTTAAAACAAGACCTACAGTCTCTATTAACTAAACTCAAATATTTTCGACAATTTATGACTTAAAAAACGAAATAAAGAGTATCTGGCTACGTGCGGCCTTTTTCACTGTGGCAGTCAACGTGTTAAAGATTGCAAAAGATTGAAATTAGGCATTCACTTCTCTGAATTTCTATTTTTACAAATTCTCTTACAAGGTTATGAATTTGTATAAATTATAACATATTTCATACTTTCCTCACAAAGATTGTGACACCCCTTATTACTCATTTTGCATAAAAATTCGCAACATAGTTGGCAAAGTGCGCTAGTTTTCAGCTTCATACTTTCCTCACAAAGATTGTGACACCCCTTATTACTCATTTTGCATAAAAATTCGCAACAAAGTGCGCTAGTTTTCAGTAACTCTAGTAATCTAATTAAAATAAACTCGTGGATCCATTACACGCAAAGGGCATAAAAACGGTTAAAATCAATTTCAAGACGATATGTATACTGTGTTCAGCCCAGGAGGCAAGGATTGCGTGGGAGTGGAAAGGAAGTCGCAGCTTGTCGGGGTATTCGACACGAAGGGCAACGGCGTTGTCTTTGACGAGGACGGCGCGACGAGGTTCGTGACGGAAAAGAATTTCACTGGAATTTTTAATTACTGTCCACCCCCGGGGACACCTTCAGTTCAAGTTTCCAATTATTTCTGCAGGCTGTCCTACAATCAGATTGGCGGAATTTGGAGGGACAATCCGACAGGACCGCCGCTCCTGTGGAAATGGGACGTAGACGAAAAGAACTCGGTAGTCAAGACTGTGTACGCGGTAGGTGAGGATGTTCTCGTGCTTTGAACTTTACCATTTTCCACAGTTAAAATTGGACTGAAGATTTTATGCATTTAAAACACGAGTAAATGCTTAATCCTTGCGTTCCCACGTTATTTAACAATTACAAGAAAATATTATATGTTACATGAAATATAAATAATTCACAAGAACATTTTAACATTTTGAAAGAGTTTAATGCCATTTTTCGTTCTTTGCCATTTGACAATTTTTTTATTTTCATCACAGTTATATACATTAATTTCCATTATAAAAATGTTATAAATAATAAAACCTAATTTACTTACCTTTAAATTAGATCTTTATAAATTTTTTTGTATTGCCAGCAATGATCAACACTTGAAATCCAGCAAATTAAAGAAACAAAGGACTAATAAGGTGTTATGTTAAAGATAGTCTTTGAAATGCATATTACAATTTATGTTATGCCATCTATACAAGACTAGGAGAATCTAGTATACTCAAAGATATGAGAAAACATGTACATACTATATACTAATTTTTTATTTCATAGTTTATAATACGTAGCCATATGGTTTCATAGGGAGCGAAATGGTTAAAATGCAATAGAGTAGAGACTTAAATATAATTTGAGTAGATCTTTATTTTATTTATATCCTAATGAAATCACGAGTGGAGGAAAGTAGTCCTTATTTAATTTTTGGTTTCTAAACATGTACAGTTTAATTTGAACTATATTTTGGATGTCTGTATATATTCCTGTTTTCATAAATTGTTTTAGAGATGTTGGATTTAACGAAAGATTTCTTTTATTAATAAAAGAATTCATTAATTTAAAAATGTAATAAAAGCTTGTGTTATGCTCGTTAATGTTTTCGTTTCAATGTATTGTACATAGTTTACTCACAAGTGCGTAAAATGTGTAATCTAATTATAACTGACAAAGAACAGAAAACAATATGTAGTAATTGACACAACAGAGGAAAATTTTGAATAACAAGCTTCAAAAATGTTTCACGTCATATTTCCGTTTGTTATTCATAAGACCATTATGATATTAAAGCTTGAAAAATGTGATTCACAGAATGGAAATATATTAGTAACAAAAAATTAACGGTTCTAGGATAGAGTATACAACTTTATTAACACAATCATAGTTTCTCATAACGAATTAAATTGTTTATTGCATTTACGTCATTCATTTACTTCTTTACGTTTCTTCACACAGACATAATTTCACTACGGATTTATTGCATTTTCGACACTTACAAATATTTAAAACACAGAAAATTAACAATTTCAACGAGAGTAATGGTACTGTCAGTCTATTATTAATTTTTAACTTAAGAAAACCCTATGTATATTTAAAATTGCTAAGTAAACTGTCCAGTATCGCTCGGTGTGAATATAATTCATTTCAATCGAACTTATTACTACAGGATGTCCAATTTTCAGTTATTTACTAGGTACCACTTTGCCATTTTGAAATTAAAATATCTTCTAATGTTTTGTCCGCATAAATAGCCTTGTTAAAGGGAACGGATATTTACAATCAATATTTATTACTATTTATTATATATTACATCGAAATATTTTATAGCCTAAATAATTTGCCCTCCTAAACCATTTTACTTAAACAAAAGTTCACAATGATATGTGCAGTGGTTTCGTAGAAAACAGCTTGCAGCGCCTCATATGGGGTTGGCTGCATATATCTGGTACGATCAGATTAATTGAAAAATAGAAAGAAATTTTCAAAAGGAGATAGTAAATAAGTTTACGATATAAATTGCAAAATATAGATCGTAACTCTACCCTTGAAAACGTTACGAACTTTCTGAATAACCCAATGACACTTCTATCGCGAACTTATTTTCTTTTCGAGTATTCCAATGGCACATCGACTGTAGTAACGTCACCGACGATTTATTATTTCAGGAAAAATCGGCAGTCCGCATAGAAAAGTTCCTCCCTCCGCGGGTCTCGTCCCCATTAAAGAGGTAAGAACTTTTTTTTTCTTTTTCGTCGTCGGTCGATTACGTCGATCCTCTCTTGTAACGTGTAAACGCGCCCAGTTCCAGAAGCGGCAAACCATCGACGTTGTCTGCGAGCCCGCGAAATAAGGAAAAGAAGGTCGTGAAACAGAAACCTGTTGTCCCGGCCCACAACGATGAAGAAGAAGAGGTCGGGTCCGGGTACGTTGCGGAAAAAAGTAGTGCAATTGTGCTCGACTGAGGGGGTTACTAATTACAACGGGATCGCTTCGCTTCGCGAAACGTTAATAATCGAGTTTTTCAATTAACGATCAACTATCTATGATACCAACGGACTTTGAAGCCGCGTCATGGTTAAATGGGTTAATGAACGTTGCGGCGCTGAGCAATTTGTCTGGATACACCGACGTTAGACCTACCTCGTGATCTAGCGCGAAGGAAAATCGTTTTAGCGGTCGAAATCCATCATGGAAGATCTGACGTGATGTGTGTCTAGTACAAACTGATTTTACAATCTTTCGAGTCCATCTGGAATTTGAATGATATAGTCATTTTAGTGTGGGAGATTTGTTAAGGAAATTGGTTCAGTGTTCGAAATGTATTATAAAAGACCTGACGTAATGTGTGATTAGTACAAATTGATTTTACAGAATGAATTCCATATAGGATTTTAAAATATAGCCATTTTAACTGCAAAAGGGACTTTGTAAGTAAAATTCTTATAGTCTAAAATTTTAAATCTTGGAAAAGGGATTGTGTAATTCCTTATTCATTATGTGGGCTAATTAGTAATATATCTTTCGGTCCTTTCCTTTCTTGAAAAGGGTGGAGGATGGTGGACGATGAGGAGGGATATTATTAAAGCAGTACATATGTACCTACTTCTGATTCTTTTAAAAGTTAAAATTGAATTTTACAATAAGACGTGCTCGTTATTATTATACTTAGTAGTTTTTAAAATATACTTGTTGCATGCCAAATTGATACATTCGACGTTGCAATTTTTCGTCAATTTAAATGTCTATTTCTCAAGAAATAAAAAATCAGTGCCATCTTTACAATACTTACCTAAATATGGACAAGATATTTTGAATTTAAACTGTTTGGTGGAATATTTAATTAAAATTATCAATAATTTATTGTTTTTAAGGAGAAATAAAATCAAGGGAATATAAATAGGTGGTCTTCAGTTTGTTAAAATTGAAGGATAATCTAAAGATAATTTAAAAAAAAGCAACTTATACCCTTGCCATTATTTTACTAGGGCTGAAATATCAATTCTTTGCCCTCCACAAATTACTATTTAAATACGATTTTCAAGGCTCATTAGACTGTGTAATTGAAAAGTTAATGTGACTGCAAATATTAACTGCATGTCTTTATTACCGACTCTCAAAAGGGTCCAAAAATTGTTGACAATTGTCTATTTCGTGGCATTGCAGCAATGGTAGCAACAGTTGTGTACAAAAAATTCTATTAACTTCTATTAATTTTAGGCACGATGTTCCTTGCGATTATACCAAAGACACCTATTCGCTGAAAATGATATGCATGAAACTAACTGACTACATCAGCTTACGGATCTTAAATCGAAGGGAAATTTATCTCCGATTTTTTGCAAATGGAAAAACTATTAGGTAAAATAAATGGACCCAAAAGCAAGTTTGAATTTTATACGATTATTCAGCTAATACTGTGACAAATGTAATTGCAGGATAGAATTAGGTACAATTCTGAATTTCAACAAGGAAGTAGCGTCGTACTTTGTGGATACGAGTGTGAAAGACGCCATGTTGAAGTAAGTTTCAAATATCATAGTGCATTCAAGTATCAAGAAAAACAAGTGGCTACATAATTTTCTCTTCACTTGTAACAGATGCAAATTCGATGACCTGTTAACTTCTCATTTCGAACCAGACGACAGTTTACATGACTTAGCTCAAGAATTACGGAAGGTTAGAAAATCAGGCAGACAACGCAAACTTATGATTAAAAAGTATAAGCCGTACCTGTCTGTATGGAATAGTTTAAAAACTAGATGTCGTCCATGATAATTCTATTGCATAGATTGCCCACCCCATTGAATTTATTGCATTCTGATTTTTGTAACAATCACTGAGCACATGAAGATTCACACTACATTGTAAAATGTACATTTTATTAAAAAATTTGGTACCTATTAAAGTCTGTCTTTGCATAAAACTTAAATACTTTACCTTGTTTCCAGTGATTACTGCTAAATACTTCTTAAAATTCAGTTCGAGTTACTGTCAATATAAAAATCCGAGCAATGAAAATTAATCCAAAAAGGAAGATTAGGTTATCTTCTTTTTAACGTAAATTCTCATTGAATCTTTCACTTACGTAAACTTGCTATTAATAGTGCTCTTCAATATTGTTTTTAAGAAACACATCACAAAATTTCTGTTCTACTTTCTATGAAATCTATACATTTAAGTGACACACTTTAACTCTCCGTGAACCCCGTTAGTTTCACTGTTTCCGTCACCCCCCTGAGTTTTTTTATATCAAAACCTATTTTTTTTATTTTGTGGGGTTCCAAAAAATTTTTTTAAATTCAGGGACATTTCCCTGGATCGCTACTACATGATTCGATAATTTTTAAAGTTGAATGTTAAAAGGTTTTTTAATGATAATTTCTTCGTTTCGGGGAATTTCGAACACGAAATTTCGTTTGTGCCATAGAAGACCCAGGAGGCACGAAAGGTTAAAATGCACATATTGGGCCCGAAGTGGTAAAGCTTTCAACGAAATTTGTTAAAATATATTTTCAGCTATCATCTTTTTCCAAGAAAAAAAGATTTTCATTTTTTTCAAATGAACTCCATAATTCCTTTAAATAAAAAAACATAAGAGAACTATTTTCACAATAGGGTGTCGAAGGGATTAAGAATAGGAACGCAGGATAGTATAAATAAAAATGAATATGTAATTAAAATAATTAATCAGATAATCAATTCTTGTCTTAATGTATACATTCCTCGTGCCAGTGTAACAATGTATACAATATAGTCACGCGCGCATGCGTCTCCATGTATGTATATAGGTTCACTGTCTGATCGTATGTATTCTTCGTGTGTATGTGTTTGTTGCGTGTGTTCATGTGGGTGTGCTTAAAACACATACTGAAGATTCCCCGGGCTCGGGGAATCTACATCCTTGAAAATCTTAAAACACTAAACGATGAAGAGACAGAAGACTGAAAAGAGAACAAAAATGGAGAAAAATCGCAGAAGTTAGGAAAGTAACGTAGCAAGAAATTTCGATGAATAAATAAAGGTTAAATCGGTTGAAAAGAAAGGGAGTGATGAAGTTGGAGAATGAACGTAACAAAAATATAATAGCAATAAATAAAAAATCGCCACGCGAGCGTATGAAAGGATCTACCATGAGCTCCATGAGTGTCGAGAAGTGACGTCGTCGACGATCTGTCCATCGCGAAAGATCGACGACGTGGAACCCACAGTCACGTGATATGAGGTACAACGAAGTTGGGGAACAAACAAAAAAAAACAATAGAAGGAATACCGTTTAGAGTGTACAAAAAAAAACGTATAAATAAACGCGCTTCGTGATCGAGGACGCGGGAATTCGAAGGAACAACCCGCGCGAGTCTTGGAAGGGCCGCGGTCTGACTACTTCCGACTTATTTACAATGCCCTCCGAGACTATTCTGGCGACCGTCGACGAACATATACGCGTCTGCCTCGTTAGCACACGCTGCGACGTAACCCTTTGCCGCGGTGATTAAAACCTATATCCTCGTCTCTTATCGCGGTCCACAACGTGCCGTGAAAAACGCGATTGGAGAACGTTCCGTCGTCGCCACCTATTTCGAAAACTGACCATCGAACGCGCGACAATCGATTCCGCGGGGACTAATTTCGCAAAGCGAAACTCGAGCTATTATGCAGAGCTGGGAAGATGTTCTGGTGGAAGGCACAGGGTGATGGGATGTAAACTAGCGCTCATGAGTGTTAGGACACCTGGATCTGTATGGAAGAAGTGTGACGTACCGTAAAGATTACATATTTGGAGCCACGTTTACTACTTCATAATAACATAAGCCTAGTCCAGCTTTGATACCCTTTTAACAATATCTACTTTAAAGTTTCGACAAATTTGGGCCATGTTTATTACTTCATAGTAGCACAAGCCTTGCCCATCGAACTAGATCCCCTGAACAATATTTGTTTCAGACTATCAGATATTTTATAATGCCTTCTAACATTTACTGCATATTCGATAAGTGTCCTGATACTCATGAGCGGGAGTGTATGTATAATTTTCGCCAAGATATAGCGTGGTCGTAAATCATCGCGTTACGCAGGGACACTTGTCGATGTCACCAGACACAGGACCGTATACAACTTATAGATTTAGGGTCCTTTGCTATAAAACGGAAAAGGCTGCCGACTAACTATAAAACATTTACTACAAGGGTGACTATGAATCATGATTAACATTTAGAATATTTGAACTTTAAGCTCTTCGTAAGCTGTTGTCAGTGACGAAAAGATCAGAAGTATTTTTGCTCTGAATTGACACTGTACTATTGATCTCTTAAATGAATGTTCTGACGCTCGAAATATGCATACCTTTCCGCTTGAAGATATGTACGACCGCGCTGTAACTTGTCGGCTGCGTAAGTCTGCCTGAGAGACTACTGCAGGCCAATGGTTAGCACCCTGAGACGCTGCGTCATTTCAAGTTCGACAAATCGCCTCGCGTTATATCCCAATCGATCTCGATGTGTCCCGTTCGTTCTCTTCGTCACCACGGTACTATATGATTCGATTGTATATCTCACCGTATCGGCCAATAATGAAAATACTTGTGCCATATCGCCACTATGCGCTAGACAAGGTAGTCGTATGGAGATTAAACCAATCGGGCCACGCATTCCTTTCGAATTTCTTCCATTGGACCTCTTTCCAGCTCTGCATAGCACTAGTTTCTAGTTACTAGACGCGACGATCGAAGTAAAAATACCATTCTCGCATAAAAGAGAGTATCACACACGGCTGGCCCACATAGCAGTGAAAGGATCAACAAATACGAGCAGGGACCGGCGGAACGTGCTCCGACGTCGTCGGTTCTTTGATTCGTCCTCCTTTTTCCTCCCTCTCTCTCTCTCTCTCTCTCTCTCTCTCTCTCTCTCTCTCTCTCTCTCTCTTTCTCCTATGGAGTCGCGTTTCTAGGGCACTTATTTACACGGTACCCGAACATTCTGCTCGTTCTTTCATTCAAGCGGCCGTCGATCGAACGGAGAGAGCCGCGGCTCGCGTTTACCTGGATCTCGCCCGAGAGCATAAAAACGGACGGGATTCCGCTGGAAAGGTTTGGATCAACGATGAGAGAAGGGGGGGGGGGGAGAATGAGAAGAATGTTCGAAGCAACACGGACATAAAAATTAAATAACATCCCGGCACGGTCTATCCTCGAGATCGCCGATCCTCGAGAAAACTGCTTTCTTCGGCCCTCAATGAGTTTCGTTCATCTGGATCGTCGAACGTCGCTTTCAATTCGCCACCTTTACGAATTCAGGATTGGGAACGGTGCAGTTCTCCGCTGCGTACGCTGGATGCACGAAGCTACTTCCTACCATGCCTAGGTTCTTCCGATCCACGGCGCGCACCCTGACGAAGAGGAACGCCGCGACTAGAGAGGCGACGACCACCACCAGTAGGAGCATCACCAGACCACCAACAAATCCAGGAAGACTCATACAGATTGTTTCTGGGTCGGAGGAGGCGCTGGCGTTCTGAATGACCACTGTAGTGTCGTTGCTGGAGTTCGTTGTGCCCAGGGCGAAGTTCACATCACCTGGTGCTACCACCTGGATTATCCTCGAAGTGTTCACGTCCGTCATCTCTTGGGCCGCTCGCTTGTAGACGTGGGTGGAGACCAAGGTGATGGTTCGGTAGATGCTCTGGAAAGTGGTGACGAAACGAAATTAGAGAGTTTTGAATTTTATTGTATGCAAATGAATAATTTTAGATACTAGTATAGTGATACTGAATTTGGACGGAATTTTATTTATTCTAGTAGAGGCTTCGGAATGTTAATAATGATATAGAAATAGCAGTAAACTTTATTAGAATATTTCTTTTATTATGTTCTGCAAGTTAAGAGCGGCAATTAAATATGGAATATTTAGTTTTAACTCTTTCCATATTAATTTGAAAGTGACTAAAGATTCTAGGCATCTAAAGATACATGGAACTATTGAGACCTAGCTATGCAGCTGCATCACGCAATCCTGAGATTCTCCATTAGGCATTCAGTACTTGACAACAACAGGAATTGTGAACCTCTACCGTAAGTGGGGTAAATTTGATGTACAATCAAGGTAATTTTGACACAGTCAGCGTAACTTTGTCCCAAAGTCAAAAAATGATCATTCTCTATTTTGTGGCCCCTTTGCAAGTACATGAAATACCATTTCGCATGAAAATCAACTTAATTGAACAATTTGCAGAGTTCTAAAATTGAAAATGATCGTTTTCTGACTTCGGGACAAAGTTAACCTGACTGAGTCAAAGTTACCCCAACTTACGGTAAGCTTACAGCTTACTCATTTATCTTCAGATATGTTGTAAAACGGATTTCTTCAAAATATGTAGGTCCTCTTATAAAATGCTAATATAAATAAACGTACGCTTCAGATAGTTCATGTAAACGCGAATAGTGCGTGAAGTTTCTGCAATCCTTGGTCACAATGGCCCCAGGCATCGCCATTCGAGGGTTAAAAGGGTTGGTCAATATTAGTTGTCTTATTGTGATGTACTTATGCAAGGCTTAATACAATTGTTAGGACGGTTCTCCATCACTACCACAAAGCTAATGTGGTTAGGCAGTTAAGGCCATGTAGTGATATAACTACACGTCTGTATAATTGAAACTAGAAATCGGCACAAGTCGACAGAAATTTATAGGAGCCAAATTAGAACAGTTGTTGATTACTCTTTTCATTTCTTTGCTTTCGTTATCGCTAATGAGCATATATTACTTACGGAATCATCGTCTTCCAGGTCTTCATGGCTGTCGGACCTTCGCCTTCTGGCACCTCTAAGCTCGGCTGGGAAACCTTCTACCGACCTCGGCCGACCTCCGAGGGTGGCCAGGTTACCCTCGAGCTCCTCGGAACCGGCGGTTCCCTTTCTCTTCACGGTCTGGTAGGCCGCTGCCGGGTGACCAGGAAGAGGGGGTGGAGGAAGGTGAATGTTATCCTGTGGACTTTGTGGTGAGCTACTGGCTGTCGCATCACCGGGCGTCGAACTGGGTGACGAGGATGACGTCTGTGCCTGTGGGGCTGGCACTACGTCCGCGTTCGGTTCACTATTGGGCAATAATATTCGGTTAGTATTCAGGATAATATTGAATTCCAGAAGAATAGAGTTTCTCAACTTCTATTTTATATAATAATTTGATGGGTATATATATGCAGGTAATGTATTTTGACTGCATATTTAACCCTCAACTGGACACGTGGCGTCTGAAAGCCTGTGAAATGTTAAAATTACCAGACATTTCGGGAATGGAACTATGTAAACACAATTTTCTTAGATTTTCATAGTAATGGGAATACTTGAAAGTTGTTAATAGATACTAAATGAATTTTGTAAGAACGTGTATCGTTTTTTCATTCCTTAACAAAAGTAGCCCCTCAGATGCCATATTACCTCTGTGTACAAGATTCTTATATGTTCGGTTAACACTAGACTACCGAACCCGTCAAAATGACGGATTTCAGATTTTTTATTTTGCAATTACTGAAATCCTAGAGATACTTTCATATACACTTTATATTACAGTATACTAAGTTATATTGGATTATATATTACACAATTTAACTTAACATACATTCAATGTTGGTAGTTCTAGTGTTAAGGGATAAAGTGACTTTATTTTCTAACAGTTAAACTTTAGATTTTTATGAAGATTAATAGGCCTGAAGAATAAGTTACAGGGAGAGAGGGAGAGAGAGGGAGAGAGAGGGAGAGAGAGGGAGAGAGATAGAGAGATTGGAAAGGAGTATATTTCTTTTATAGAAGGTTTCGGTATATCAAAAGTAATATCGAAAATATCTGCAACCTTTATTGTTCATTGTCTTACGTGTATTCTTGAGTGCTATCCGCGCATAAATAAATGCACATTCAGAAACTTACCCAATGCTTTCGACTAACTCAAGGTGAAGTAGATAAAAAAAAGGGTTAAATTAAGAATATTTAATATTCAAAGATAACGTGCATAAATTCCACGATGACCCCGGTACAACGAATAACAGAAATCTACAGGAGAAGAATATACGTCCATACAAAGGATACCTCAAAAGAAGTAAGAAAAATACAAAAATCCACCTTATATTCAATGTTTCTTATAGAAATTATAGAATTATTATCCATTATTAATGAAGGGAAGACTTCTTCGCAACACTTTCTACGACATTTTAGCAAGATAATAATAAGAAAATTATGATAAAGAAGGAATCTGATCAAGAAATAGATTCAAACAAGCACTTCAATATATTAAGACTTTTTCAAATGCCTATTAAAAAATTCAATACATGCAGAATAATAAAATAAATCGAATAGAATAAAAAGCCCGGAAAGCACTGATTACTAAGGAGGCTAATTGCAGAACCAACCAATGGACCAAACGGAAGAATTCCATAACAGACCAATAAATCCAGGGACGATATTAAAAAATACTTCTTCATTTTTATCATTATTTTGTCTATTAATTCATCATTGAAGACTTACCTATACGCTCCAGCCGGTCCGCTCGGATGTCTGGGATCAGCAAACGCAGGTGGTACTCCGTATTCAGGTACTGGGGGCACTCCATATTCCGAGCCAAGACTCTGGTGCACAGCTGCACCGTATTCCTGAGACAGACCCGCGGCAGGGGTGCCATACTCGAGACCAGGATGTCCGCACTTCGGTTCCGGACAGTTGTAGCGACAGACCTGAATGACGCACTGGAAGTGGACATTCATGCTGTCCGGGAATTTAAAGGCTTGGAAGTACGCGAAACTGACGACGGAGGCGCTTGGTCCGAAGTTCTTTATCTTTTGGAACCTACAAAAACAAAAGAACCATGTAAGCTTCTTTTTCCTTCATACAACTTGGAAAAAACGAACGTTTCTACCTACAAAAACAAAAGAACCATGTAAGCTTCTTTTTCCTTCATACAACTTGGAAAAAACGAACCTTTTGTAACCCTTTAACCAGAAAGCACCAGTTAACTGGCTGTTTCTACTTAACTATAATATGGACTAATTTCTGATTTCTTTAGTTGCTTATCTGCAGGTTCGTCCTATTTACAATTTAGTAAAAATTCTCAATTCTTCCTGCATGCGCATTTATGGTAGAGAAGCTACCAGTTCACCGGTTTAGTAACGAATGAAGTCAAAAATTATTTGAAAAAGATCTAGAAATAGACTTAAAAGGCAATGTGAAATGCTTGTGAACTAAGAAGATCCATATTTCGTTTATGGTATATCTCTGATCCACTATTTCATACACGGTATAAATCTTTAAATCAAACATAGAAAGTATTAAAATCAAATATAGTATTACATACACAAAATGCCAAACATCGTCGACATTAGAGCTAGATAGCTTTGTCGAAAAGGATGTACACAACTAGATTGCAAGACCCAAGAAGTTTATAATCTTTGAGAAAGTAGAATATTCGTTACTACGAAAAGGTCATCGTCCGTCAGTAGACCTATCCTATCAGATTCAGAGGAAAGTAGACTTACAGTAAAGTACACAAAGGATGCTTCATTTACCTAGACATAATCTTCGGCCTAACAACGCAACCATACTGATCCACCAGTTGAATAGGTGCCCTCTTGCCGTCGTGAGCGACACAGTTCCTGACCAACATATCGAACTTGTTCTCATCATCCTTAATAGCCAGAACCATCGTCATCGTCTGCCCAATCTTCACAATACCGGACACTTCGCTGGCCCACGGTCCCTTGCCAACCTGTATCTGCATCCAGCACTGGAGATTGTCCCCGAGGAAGTTCGCCGTTACAGCGTGCAACATGTCAACTTGGAACGGCCTGAATGTGACCGCCTTCTCGTAGAAGTCGTACCAGGTGCATCGTAGCTTCCTGGCCTGATCCCAGACCTCCTGCACGTACGGATCGTACTGGACGATTATGGTGTTCTCCACGTAGCTACCGGACGGCGTGGGTGCTCCGTATGCAGCTACATTATGATTGGCCGAGGAGCTCATTCCGCAGGAGTTCAGGAAAATCTCGAAGGTAGCGCTCAGATGTCCTGTGCCAGGCTTCAAATGGACGCAATGGGGATCCGAATAGAAGCCTTTGCTGAAGATCATCCCGTAGAACGGACGATCGAATTCGATGTTGACGCGCATATGAGTTTTCTCACATTGCACCTGAAGATGCTTGATTTGAGGCGTATCCGGGGTCGCCAAGGGCCAGTTTTCCTCGACCCCGTGTTGCGACGGGGGACCATATTGGGCCGGCGCACCGTACACCGATCTGTGCTCCAGGGGCAGCGCACTGCTGTCGACCAATGGCGCTTCGCAGTTTACTCTCTGTAAAAAAAATAAATCGTCCATTTAGATTTCCGTTTGACGCTTTCTATTTGATTTTTGTGTTATAGTAAATCTAGGTACTGCGATCTAACGCAGGTAGACAATGGTCGCAAATTGAGAGCTTATCGCAAGCAAGTCACAACACTAGGCAATTCCGGTCGACTAATAGTCTCGCTCTTGCTTTATTTGTAATACAAATTTTTGTATATTTTTTGAAGAATCGTAATAATGAACTTATACTTTAACAGTATTTTACTTGTGTGCGTAAAACGATAGTGAGGCATCTTGTCAACTGGAGCGTAATGTTTAGTTTGACCCTGCTGTTAATGTTTTTATGGGTTCATGTGGACTCCTTATTACATGTATTTGACATATTTTGTTGAAGATATTAGGTGCCTAGAAAAGTAATGACTGTGCATTGAAGTTGATGTGGTTTTATTCTACTTTATTGACGAGGAATTTTGCTTTTGCCAGGGAAATGGCGAAATGTTATAGAATATGTGGGGAAGTACCTATTTCGAGCAATAAATTCAAGAGCAATATTAATAAAGAGTTCAATATTAATAAAGATCTTATAAATGACCTTTACATCAAGGCTTGAAAACAGTAATGATTTTGGTTCTTGAAGCAATTATGAGAACCGATATAATGCTATAACTGTTACGGATATAACTAGTCTGGCCTAAATTAGGTTGGTTTCTGCAAAATCGATATTAATATCGATACTGAATGTAATAATATATCAAAGTTAGAAACAATTATTTTGTGTAGGGTAATTCTCCCAGTGTAGGCCCCAAAAATGACTCGTTACAAAGAAGGTCTAAAAATAAGAAAGCTACGTAGGGATGATTAGAATCTCCAGCGAAAGATCACCTTGTATTAGTACGAAACATTCAACTGTTTTAAACGATAAAAGTAAAATTTGCTGTTTCTATCGACTCTCGCAGTACTATTTCAGAAAATATAATCTTATTATTATGATTACGTGATGGTTTAAGACAGTAGTATCTAATACACCGCTGTGTTAAGCAAATGTGAACATGTTATGGTATGCACATCTGATATACAGGCTTTAACATTTACAGTTTTAAGGCAGAACGGCGTTATTGAAGATAAATCTACTATGTAGGATTTATGTTCTTAAAATTCCTAGGACTTGTTTCAAAAGAAACGTGTAGGAATATTGAAATCGATAATAAGAAATTGATGTTTGAATGTATAAACTGCAGAATTTCGAAAGTGAACATGTGTAACATGTTGTTTTGTTTTGCAGTCTGAGATAGATAAATTTTGAAAGGATCATTCCATCAAATGGGAAGATCAATGTTTCTCAAGTGTAAATTTCAGACTTCATCGAACATTGCGGTCAAGCTGTGAGGAATCCACTTCCCGAGTTCTTTTATATTACTTGACTGTTTTAGACTAGGCCAAGTTTTGTTTGTAGTTGTGAAACGTAATATTTCGTTCTCTAACTTCTTTGTACTTTCTTCGACGAACATTTCTGTTACAATTAGATCGGATTGATAAATCGGAACGAATACGACGAGACTTGTAGTTTGATCTAAAACGATAGATAAAAGCACTGACATTTTTCTTATAGCTATTTACTTTAAAAGTAATAACAAAATATAAACGTTTATATTAATGTATGGGGTCGTACATAATGAAACTACACTGTACAACAAACAGTTTAAGTTGTTGTTGACTTAATTGTGCTTCATAATCGGTCTTCACGGATTTTTGTTACATGAAGAGTAGATGGCTGCTCTTTTCAACACAAATGTATTTATTTTAAATATTAAAGTGATTATAGAATATAAGAACAATGGCCAGTCACTTGTAAGTAAATATGTATATAATTAAAGCAAAAGTAACTGTTTAATGTTAGTGTTTAAATTAAAATGTATAATTTACAAGTAAATTATTTTCCCTTAATGATTCATTAATTCAAGTAATAAATTGAATGGTTATTTATTTTCACTTCTAAAAGCCTCGGAGAAACAAATAATGTACAATTTACCACTGTGGCTAACAATAATCGATTGTGGTTTGAGTGGAATTAAGCTCAAAATAGCTGTGGTTGCTTTGCGGTATTGGACCGTTCGAAATGACCGAAAATGATTATGGCTCGGTAATAATTTGAGAAATATTACACTAATTGCAGCACACTTCCGTTGTGAAACGTGTACACATTATTCCTTGCAGAATAATTGTGTTTGTATTATACACATTTGTATTTATAGAAAAGTAAAATCAAATGCTATGTTCTCTTTATTGTTGTCACTCTTTGCCTGAATATTCTCATTAATTGTTTAATAATACTCCATTAATCAGAACACGTACATTAATTATCTTTAATATGACTTAAATAGAAAATAATTACATTGTGGAACAAATTTTGTTCTTCCGATGTGTTACTAATATTACCTTTATTTGATAACGTTGTATATACTTTATTTGATCTTGTACTATTTATTTTGATAACGTTCCAAGTAGAAACAATTAATGTCAATTTCTAAGACTAAAAAAGATATAGAAAAGGTTCATAGAAATCGGGAATCTAATTATGAATGTTATTCGAAGTTTGAAATTAAACTATGTAAGAAACTATTCAGCAAACATTTAAAACAAAAATACAGGAATTCGGAATGATGGCGATATAGTGATCAGTGTAAGTAATCACGTCATTCATTGCCAGACTAGGTAGCTGAACGTACTACACAGATATCAGTCGTCAAAATATTATTGCCTCTTTAGTATACATTACATGAAAATAGGTACTAAACGTTTAATTTATAAGCAATCCACGGAAATATTTTATTATTTTTTAATGTTTCAAAATTACAGTATAAACGCATAATCACGCATCACTTTTTACACGATATCCATTGTGTCCTGCTGTGAGTTATTGATATCTTATAGATAATTAACTAAAAAGCATACAAAATTCTTTATGAACAGAAAAATTTTTCGATGTCATACTTTTTTTAACAACAACGGTAGACAAAGTTCTAAAACTATATAAACGGTTTTATTTACTGTCCCAAACACTGTATAATTCAACACTTCGATCAGTTTTCAAAGCGGCACCGGAAGCTCGAAACTCGGGCCGGTACGGGACAGTGAAGGGCGATGTCGCAATCTCATATGAATTAAATTAAAATGAGAATTCCGTGGAAGACGGGCGAGCAGGTTTTAACGGAGGATGAATCAGTCGACGATAGAACGAGTGCCCTTTTCAAGGCCCTGCACGTATGCAGCAGGGCAATTCAACCGGCTGCGTTTCGTAACCCTCCTCGTAAGAGTCATAACGGCGAGCCAACCGAAAAATATAGACTCTCGCGAGACGTGGCCGGAAAATGAGGAAGAACGCTTTGTCGTCACCGCCGCCTGTCTCGTCTCCATACCTTCTTTCTCCCCTTTCGTTTCGTCTTCTTCCTCTTTTTTTTTTATTTATTACGTTGGGTACATATGAAATGTCGTTTTCACAAATGAAACTTCAATCACGCGTCGTTTCGTCGACGCTATTTAACATTTGAAGTACCAGATAGTGGAATGTATACTAAATTAAATTGTATAATACTTTCATATGTATAATGTATTGGGTTAACGCATAAATTTTGGGAATTTCTTCATATGAAAATAAAATGATTTTTTATGTATTTTCCATTATGCATTGGGTAACATATCAGTCTAATAATATGATATGTTTTCGGAAAAATGTAAGGACAGTAATACAAAAATATCGTTTTGAAAATTCCTATTATTTATGCATCAATCTAATTAATAAAATATAACATACTATTGATGGTGTAACGTTTGAGTGCAAAACTATTATTTTCAAGAAAACATAGTGTACAGTTCTATATAAATTCGATAAATTTTACAGAAAGTTTTAACTGATAATAGGGCACTAAATTTGAATATAGACTTAACCCATGTGTACATATTAAAATGTTACCCAAGAGAGTAACTCCGTGTGTACGTAACATATTTTTGCTTAAAATTGTATTTAGAACATTTGTGCGCTACACCATCGATATATTGTAATGTAGAATGTATAATAAATAATGACTTTTACGTCAACATAAATTTTGACAGACGCACTTTTATAATTTCAGTAATTATAAAGAAAAAAATTTTAAATTCTTCATTTTGACAGATTCAGTGATTCTATACATATAGTGTTAAACGCTATTTTTCATGTTGCTTGTTGTAGATTATTTTCGATATTTCTTACAATATTATTGTCAATGGTATTTTCTAGCATTTCTCTTGATTCATTTTCTAATAGAAAAATCACTAGCCTCGAATTTCATGAATCAACTTTGACCTGTTCTTACATTTACATAACCTTCTCCAAATATTAAATTTATATTTCCAACAACTTTTGCAGCGTAACTTCATTTAATCATTTTATATGTTGTTTCACCTAAAACTCGTTTCAGTTTCGAACATAATATTATATAACATCTCTGTCATTAAAAATATAGTTTCATACATTGTGAAAATAGTATCATAATCTGTGAGCAATCCCAGTGTCTCTATAAGTATTACCTCTAAAATTAAAGACTATTTCTTATTCTTACATATTTTAGCAATTCATTCTGTACAATAATTATAGATTGAATAGTAAAATTATAGCTCTGTCGTTAGTATAACTTCGTCATCACTTCCTACTTACGTGGTCGCTATTTTGGCGCACAAATTGCACTTCCATTTCTCAACATTAATTTGTAAATACCAAGTACATACAAGTACATGTATTTCTTTGCTTTTATATAAATCACAGTTCCAATTTAATAATAAATATGTGCACTATTCTTTAGACATTACGTTTTTATTACGTAAAATAAATAAAGTGGCAGTTTGAGAGACACTGGCAGTAATTAAGACATTTACCGATTTACCCTATTTGAATATAGTTCAATAATAATAGCTCAAAACAATAGAAGAACGGACCAAAAATTTAATGAACGTTGTTGGCCCGGCGAAATTTG